TAAAGTTAAAATTATAATAGATATAATAATAATAATTATCGTAATAATAATTACGATAATAATTAATTTAAAAATATTAGCAATTAATTAAGGTAATTATAATTTAGTATTTAATAAATAGATGATAGATTAATAACTATTTAACTCGAAAATAAAAACCTTAATAGTAAACTTAGTAAATAAAAAAATGGATAAACTGATCTTAATTAATAATAAATTGAATTTATATAAAGTGATTATTTTTAAGAATGTTATGAAAGTTTTAATGCTTAAAAATAATAAAAATCCAAAAAATAATATGGAAATAAAAAAAATAAATTATGAAAAAATATCTATATATTAATTAAATATTATTCAATATATTTTTGTTATTTTATGTAAAACTATATACATATAATAAAATATATATATATACATATTTAATATTATATCATTAAATTTAATTATTAAATGATTACTATGTTAATGTATTTTATGTTTTATTTTATTTATTTTTTAAATTATATTTTAAAGATTTATTTTATTTTAAAGACCAACTTTTTTCTATTTAATCATTAAAATTAATTATATATTTATTATTATTAATTTAAACTTTTTATTTATTTAATCTAACTAAACTTAATTATTTATTTTATTAACTTTAAAAATTTAATAATTTATAATTTTAAGTAAGTAAAGGTTATTTCAAATTTATTTTTTAAAACAAATTTTTCTATTATAATAATTGAGCATTTTAATTATCTAATTTTAATTATTCAATAAAATTATTGTTTAAATTTTTTAATCTATATTAAGAATCAACTAATAAAACAAATTAAAATATATATATATATATATATATATATATATAAATATATATATAAATATATATTATTTTTTAATTATTACAATTTTCCATTTTAAAAATTAAAGATGAATAATTTTTAAATAATTTTATATTATCTTATTCTTTATACAATTCTTTTATATAAACTGTTTTCCTTTATTTTTGTTTTTTTTGTACAATTTTTCTATTCTAAACCATTATAACAGGTTATATTTTTTTTTTTAAACTTTACGATTATAAATTTAAATATGACTATATGATATATAAAAAAAATAAAAAATAAATTATATAAAATAATAAAACAAAAAACTTCTTCTGTTGAAAAATTTTCCTGTGATTTAACTTTATTTTATTTTTCTTTTCTAAAATTTTAGTTTTATACATTTTTTTTTTTTGTCATATTTTAAATAAATTAAATTATGTTTTCATTTTTTTTCAGTTATTATTTTTAATTTAATTCAATTTAATTTGAATTTTCAAAAACATCATCTAATATTTTATTATCATCATTAATAATTTATTATTATAATCTATTTATTATTTTTTTATTATTATTTTAAATAAAACTGCTATTTTTAACTTCACTATTCATATTATTTTAAACTAATTTAAATTTTGATTCTTTTTTATATTTTTAAATATATATATTTTATTAAAAAAATTACTTTCTTTTTTTATAAAATTAAATAGATAAAAAAATCCTTCCATAATTTTTTAATATTTCTAATGAATTTAATTAAAAATATCTTATTTTAATTACTCAAAATCTTAAAACAACTATATTCCATTATCTTAATTAAATAAATAAGTATTAATAATATTATTAATATGTTAATTAATAATCTTTTTATCACCAAAATATTTCAAAACCTTTTCTTTTTGTATTTTTTTTTTTAAATCTTAAACTAATTAATCTAATTTTTGATTTTATTATTCAAAAGTTAATGATCTGTTTCTTTTTTAAGTTTCATATAATTAATCTATTTCCTAAGTTTAAGAAAGTATTTTAATTTAAAATTTTTTGCTTATCAATTTTAATTGTTTTATAAAAATAGGCTATTATTCATTTATTTGATTACTAAAATTAATTATGAATTAATAAAGTTCATTTGGTATTTTACAATAACTTAATTTTTATATTAAATTTATTATCAAAAATATTCTATTTAGTAAATCTTCCAAATTTAAATAAGAACTATAAATAAATTTCATTTATTTAATTATTTTCTCATTTATACTTTAAATTTCTTTCTCGCTTTTTTATGCAAAATTAAACTCATTTATTGTATTAATTTCTCTAGTTTCTTCCTATATTTATATTATACTGCTATTTAAAGTTGCTTCTTATCCTATAGGTTCATTAATTATTTTATTTTCTCGAGTTTCATTTTAAATTAAAAAATAATTATTTTTTAATATTTCATCGATTTCTTATTCCTTTTCAGATAGAATTTTTGTTAAAGTTTGCTTTTGTTTTAATTTTTCTTAATATAATTTTTCAAGAAAATTATTTTCATTTATAATTGAATTATAGTATTAAATTAAAAGATTTGTGATTTTTTACAAATTAAACTAATTTTTTTTTAAAAAAAAATATATATAATTATATATATATATAATATATATATATATTTATATTTATAACATTTTAAAAAAATATATTATTTATATTTTAATTTATTTAAAAAATATTTATCATAAAAAAAAGTAATAAAAAAATTATAGAATATTTTTTATTTTTATGTTTTAATCAAAATTATTTTAAATATAATATAAAAATAATTTTATTAAAAGTAATGTAAATTATTTTTAATACTTAATTGAAAAATTATTAAATATTATTCAATATTTCGATTTTAGAATATGTTGGAGGAGAAGGTATTCTATATAATTTTATCAAATTTTTTTAATTATTTTCTTATGATAAATTATGTTTTTAAAAATTATCACTAATATATAATTATTTATGTTAAATATAAAATATCTTCTTATCTTTTTATTAATCAAAATCAAAATATTTATTATCTAACATTTTATAAAATTAATTATTATTTCCATTTAATAAATCAATATCTTATTATAAAAAATGTCTTAAGCAATATTAAATAAAAAAAAAAAATTATAAATATATAAAAATAGATAAAAAAATAATTAAAAACATTTTTAACTAATCAATAACGAAAAGATTTTAACCAATTATATAGTATTATTTACATTCATTTTATTTAGATAAAAATTATTCGTTCAATTATTAGATTTCTTATTATTGTTATAAAAGTAAGTTTTTATATTACTAAAAATAAAAAAAAAAAAATGAAAAATAAATATATATATAATGATATTTAAATATATAAATATATAAATATATATAAAAAAATTTAAATATTATATATATAATAATTTATACATATATAATCAAAAATAAATTATTTTTTCTATAAAAAATATATATATATATATAAATTTATAATTTCTATTCAATTATATATATCTATTTATATAAATATTTTTTTTATACCTATATTTATATATAATCATTTTACAATTTTTCTTCATGAAATTATATATCATTTTTTATTTGATTTAATTGTTATTTTTTTCCCCATAATTAAGTATCCCATATTTAACATGTTTTTTTAATTAATTCTTTAGCAGTATTTATTTTTCGATTATTTTCAATCTTAATAAAATTATTTAAATTTTTATAATTTTTACTTATATATTTATAGTATTCTTTTATAATTTTTCTGTATCTAAACATCTATGATAAGCTAAGTTATTTATTCTTTTTTAAGAAAGATATTTTATTTAATTTAAATTCTTTTTAATATATATTTTATTAAAAACAAATATATATTATATTAATTTATACTTTTGTATATTAAAGTTATTTAATATTATTTTAAATTTCCATTTATATTTATTATTCATTTGTTATATTAATTTCTACATCATGAATTTATTTCTAAATATTTTATATTTATTATTGAAGTTAAGATATTTTTTCATTTGACATTTTACTGTAAAAATTTTTATCAATATAAGAATCCTTAGAAAAAAAGTATTTGAAAAACTTTTAATATTTAATTAGATTTATTTATTATTTTTTAATTATATTAACAATGTATATTTTTTTAATTATCTTATAATAATTTATCATATTCACATTTAATCTTTATTTTTATTTTTATTCAATTATTTTATATATATTTTTTATATATTACACCAAATATTAAAATATTTTCATTATTACATTGTGTTGCTAGATTAATTTATTAACATTTGAATTAAATGTTTTTTTTTATTAAATATTAATTTGCTTATTATTTTAAATATAATTCTTCTTCATTATTATTAGAAGATTATTATTAATATATTTGAGTTTTTTACATTTTTTTTTATTTTATTTTATAAATAGATATTAATTATATTTAATAAAAAAAATTGATAAAAATATTTATTTTATCTAACTTTTTTTTTTTTTTTTTAAATACATTTTGTAAAATATTTATTATTTTCCCTTTTTTATAAAATTTTAATTTATTTTCAAAAAATGGAAACGTATAAAAACATTATTTTTAATAGAAGTTTACAAAAATTTACAAGTAAATATTTAATAATATTTTTTTTTAAAAAAAATATAGATAGATATATTAATGATGATTTAAATAAAATAAAATTGTAAACAAATGAAAATATTAAAAACTAAAAAGATTATCAAAAATAAAAGGATAAAAAAAATATCAAATTAAAAGTAGATGTGATACAAAAAGAATAGTAATTAAAAATTTTGCCGACATTAATAAAATATAATGCTGATTATAAAATTATAAATAACTAAAAGCCATTAAAAATCTAATAAAATAAAGTATAAATATAAATTATTACTTAAAATAAAAATAACAACTACAACAATAAAAATTTAAAAAGGAATTTAGAATAACATCGTAATCAAAATATATAGTATCATAAAATAAAAAAGAAAATATTCAATAATAATTACCAGCATATATTCATAAAGGAAAAACAAATTATACAGTATATATATATATTTAATATAATATTTTGATTAATCATTTATTTATAAATAAAAAATATAATTAATAATTAGTATATTGTAGAACAAGGAAATAATTCAGAATTAATTAAAAAAGTACTATAATGTAGAAATTGGATGAGCATATAAAATCCGAATTTTCCTCAAAATTATAGTTTTAAATGGAAACCAACAAATAGTGGAATAAATAACGGAAATATTTAAAAATCAAATAAAAAAATATAATGTTTAAATCATATAATAAACCATTCTTAGTTATCTTAAAAAGCCAAACTATATAATAATATAAAATTATATTGTTATGTAAATATAAGCTTATTAAGAAATATTAAAAATAAAATAATTTATAAAGGAAAAAAGCGATTATGTTAATAATTATTTACCTCATTCATTTATATTTAATTTAGATTCTGAAGATTTTAGACATTCTCTTGACGAGTTTTTAGATTTATTTATCACAATAGCATAATCTACAGGACTTAAAAACATTTGGATGTTAAACCCTACTGATACAAATAGGGGTAATGGTATAAGAATATTTAATGACTTGTGTTAATTTTAATAAATAATGAAAGAATATGGAAAGAAATAAATAGTAGAAAATGCTATAAATAAAATAACAAAATAATTAGATTATACATTAAGCGAAAGTAATAATTATTAAGAAAAAAATTAATAAAAGAATTAAAAAAAAATAAATAAAAATTAAATAATAATTCAAAAATATATTGAAAATCCTCTTTTAGTAAATAATAGGAAGTTTGATATAAGAGTATGGGTTTTAATAAATTAAGATTTTAATTATTATATGTTTAAGTAAATAATAAAATATATATATATATATATATTAGTTAATTTTTTAAAAAAAATAAAAGAGAAGGATATGTAAGACTTTCATCTGAAATATATAATATAAATAAATAAAATTTAAATAATATTTATATTCATTTAACTAATAATGCTATTTAAAAAGTTTCCTAAAATTATGGAAAATATGAAAATGGAAATATTATTTCATATAAATAATTAGAACAAGCATTATAAGAAAAATACTAAAATATTAAATTTTAAAATATTTTGGAATAAATATAAAACCTTATTATCATTTCAATTGAAAGTTGTAAAAAATAATTAAATAAATAAGAAAATAGGTTTAATTTCGAACTTTTTGGTTATGATTTTATGATTGATGTTGATGGTCATGTGTATTTAATTGAAATTAATTCAAATCCATGTTTAGAAGAATCAAACGATCTTTTATCTTAACTAATTCCAAGAATGATTGGTATTTTTTATTTTTTTAATTAATATTTATGTATAAAAATAGATGATATGTTTAGATTAACTATTGATAAAATTTTTAATTAAAATTATTCATTATATGAATTTAGTGGATAAAAATCTAAATTAAATCAATAATAAACTCCTTAATTAGATTTTTATGTTGATGGACATAAAATATATGAAAATTTATGGTAAATATATATTATTCTTTTTTAAATATTATTAAAAAAAAGGGTTTATTTAGGATAATTATGATTAATATTTATATTTATTTATAGTTAAATTTGTAAAAAAATAAAAAAACAAAAAATTACAAAAAAACAAAATACACTATTTATATAAAAATATATAATATAAAATATTAAGAATATTTACAAAGAAATATATTAAATAAAATATCTATTTTATAAATATATTAATTATAATATTTTTAATAGATATATAAAACTTAAATAATATATTTATTTATATTATATAATATTTAAATAATAAAAAACAACCAATAGAATTAATATAAACAAATATTTTTTTATATATTAAAATATAGTAAATATTTTTAATAATTGTGTAAATATATATATTTAATAAACTAATTGATATAATTTTGATATTTTGATTAAACATTATTAAAATTTCTGGACAAAAATAAATATAATAAATTAAATCAAAAACAAATTGTTATAAAATAAAATTCTTAAAGAGAAAATAAAAAAATTATAAAATAATATATGAATACTAACAACTCTCCTTTAAAAAATAAGCTACAAAATAAAATTATGAATAAAAAAGCAGAATAAGTGATATGTATAAGTTAAGAGCAAATAGTTTTTAATAAAAAAAAGAAGAAATATTATAAAATGTAAAAAGAGAAAAAACAAATAGTGATGACTTATCAATAGGTGAAAATACTAATTAAAATAGTATTAAAATATAATATATATAAAAATAAATATATATATATATATATATATATATATTATAATATTATATTTATTAAATAATTTTTTTAAAATTTTATTTATCTTAAAAAGAAATATAGCAACATAATCATTATACTTAATTTGAAAATAATACTTATTAATAAAATTTATTTTATGATTCTAATGAATATTTAATTATTAAAAATAAATATATAGATTCTCTTATATTTTCTTTAACTTAAGCAATGGAAATTTCTAATTAATACTAAGTACTTTTTAACAAAACAAAATTATTAAAAAAAAAAAAATATCTATTTTTATTTAAATATAATAAAAGTTAGAAAACAAAATTTTTTTAAGTTAACTATAAATTTATTTACCCTTAATGATATCGGATTTAACTAATTAAAAAGATAATTAAATTATAAGAAATGATATAAGCATAATAAACTAAGGCCAAACAGAGAAACAAAAAACAATAAATAACTAATAAAAAATATCTTAATATAAAGAAATAATAGAATACATAATAAAATTTATTGACTATTTGATAGATTTATTACACGGGAAAATTCCGGAATATAAAAATGAATTTTTTAAAATAAAAATAGAAGAAGAAGTTAAAAAGATATTATTTTTAATATCTTTTGAAAATCTTAAAAATACAAAAAGCTTTGAATAAATTTAATTTAATTTTAAATAATTTTTCAATTAAGAATATGCGAATATTTTATAGATTAAAGACGATGATTTACCTTTCTTAGAATAAAATTAATTTTTAACTTAATATTAATTAGACTAACTTTAATAAAAATACTGTATTTCTTTTGCATAAAAACCTTATTTTTATAATAGTTTTTTCCTTGATGTTTTCTATGAAAAACCTTTAGATGGTTATATTAAGATTTTTTAAGAGTTAAATTAGAAAAGTTTTTTTGTATTGAAATTCTATTTATTTAATTAATTTAAAATAATGGAATTTTCAAATAGAAAAATTCAAAAATTTCTCTAAAAATATGAAAAGCTACGTCTTTGGAAATTTAAAGAAATGTATTAAATAAAAGAAACATAAAGTTTAATTAATTCTTTATTAAAATGTATAGAAAATAATCCTATTTTGAATAATTTTTTGATAGATAAAGATTTGGTTTTAGAATTTATAAAATATTTATTTAAATATATTTTCGATGAATTTAAAATAAATGATTTTTAAGAAAAAATAAAAAAGGAGTATTTAAAATAAGAAATTGATATAAATTTAATTTGTTTATTATAATAAAATATGAAGAGAATACTTTAAGACTAAAATAAATAATTATAATAAGAAATAGAATTTAAATTTATTATTTTATAATAAAAATTTTATTTAAAACCAAGTTTTAATCTTTCATTTTGTTTAATTAATGAAGTTATTCAAAATTTATAACATTATGTTAGTTTTTTGGAAAATTCTAAATATAAATATAACTATGGTTGGTTAAAATATAAATAAATATAAATATACAAAAATATTAATTTTTATTATTATTATATTTAAAAAAAAAAAATTATAAATAATATAAATATGTTTTTTTTTAAAAAATTAGATTAAATAAAATAATATGATTTTCTAGAGTTTATATTATTTTGCTGTTTTTCATAATTTGAATGTTTTTCTATTACTGATATTATAGAAGGAATGTAAAGTTTAGGAATTGAAACTAGTATTTTTAAGTTTTGGATTAAAGGAATTAAAAGAATGCTAATGAAATTACATGTTTCAATGCAAGAAATTATTTATATTGAAGAGTTTTTAAATAAAATATATAAATTTATTATATGAAGATTACAAAAATTAAATATTTTATTAAATTAAAAAAAATTAAAAAAACGATAATTTTTTTTAATAATTTTTTTTTTATAAATTAAATTTATATATGTTTTTTAGCATTTTTAAAATATGTTATTTTCATTAGTCTTCTGTATCTTCTTTCTTTTCTTCATCACTATCAGTTTCTACAACATCAGGTGGTACATTAGGATTAGGCTTTATTTTTAAGTATGTATATATATATTTATATATATATATATATATATATGTATATATATATATATATATATATATATATATATATATATATATATATATAAATTTCATTTATATAAATATAATTATTAATAATTACTTCAGGATATTCTTCAGTATCATCTTATTCTTACTACATATCATCTGGTCCAACAGGTAAAAATGGCGATTGATTTTATTTTAATCCATATCCAATATAAATATTACAATATTATTAAGACTTTTATAAAAAAAATAAAAAAATAGTTTACTTTTCATAAAAAATACATTTGAAACTAAATATGCACCTGGCCAAGTTAAATTTTTAAAACATATAACACTATAGTTCAATTATGTTCCCTATTATATATATTAAATTATATAAACATATATATATATATATATATATGTTTATTATTTAATATACCTCATCTTAACTATTAAATTATTAAAGATCGCCAAATTCTCTTTTTATCCAATTCGGATCTCCTTCTTCTTCTTCTCCTTTTGCAAATGGAGCTTATATATTAAAATAATAAAATTAATAATTATAAAAGTGAATATATATTTATTTAAATATATTATTATATCCACATTTTTCTTATGATATATCTCTTAATCTCTCAACTTAAGTATCAGCATCATCATTTTTTAATTATTCTAGTTTTTCTTCTTTTATATCTTCTGGTAAGGAAGGATCTACATAAAGAGATACTCTACCTTATTTAAGAATTATAGGATTTAAATGAACCTTTAATAAAGCAAATATATATATAAACAAAATAAAAAAAATACCCAATTTTCAAGCGTTAATAATTCTTAATAATCTTAAAGTTTAAAAGCTTCTTCTTCAAATTCTATTTCTTTATCATTTTCATCTTATAATTTATATAAACCCTTCGGACATAATTCACAACCATGAGTAATTCTAACTATTTATGCTTTTAACTATTATTTAATTTTATTAAAAAATAATAAAATATTTTTATAAAATTGATTTTTTTAAACAAAATGCTTTTCTTTGCCATTAAAATGTGGATAGGTTTATACATTTGCATTCAAATCTCCTTTACAAATGTATTTTATTTATTTTGCTATTTACATTTATTCGGCTGTAATTAAAGGTAATTCAATCCATTCATCTAAAACTAATAAAATAATTATGCTTAAAAAAATAAATTAAAAAATATAAACCGTTTTATGTAACCCAATATGAATATTTATTAACTCCTGCACCATATTATTCATCTTTATTTTACATTTTATCACTATTAAGATTATTATAAAAACATTAAGCGACATAATAATCATTTCCTCTAGTTAAAAACTTACCCCAAAATCTCATCTAAGAAGCATTTATTTAATCGGCTAGTCTTCTAATAGAATGGTGTATTTAGAAAGATTCTTCTTCTTAAAATGAAATGGAAGCTGTTTATAATATTTAACTTTATTCATAAAAATTTGGAAACAGTAATTTTTATTTATTTTTTTATTATTTCTTTATATCCTAATTAAAATAATTATTAAATATAATATAAATATGTAAAAATATATATATATATATATATATATATATATAATTTTATATTTTTATAAATTATTTTATAAATATATATTATTATTTAAAAAAATATTTCTATTATATACTATTTCTTAAATATTTATTTATAATTTATTAAGATTTTTTATTTTATAAATATATATATTTTTTTTTATGATTATAAAGTATTTTATATTTATTTGTATTAATATATATATTTTTTTATATAATTTCTATTTATTTTTATATAAATTTATATTTATTTTCATTTTTATGTTAATTTTTATATATTTACTTTAAATAATTATTTGATTTATTCTATCCATTCTTAATGTTCTGCTATTGCTAAAGGAATATTATTTACTTCTTTATCAGTTAACGGATTTGTATAATTTAAACAATTTTTTTTTAAAAATTAGGATATTAATTCTAAGTTATTTATATTTGTAAGTTTATTTGGATTCTTTAAATATTTGTGTATTATTCGATATAAATGTTCATGAATAGTAATTCCTTCTTTACTTTTGTTTTTTTAAATAAAATTAGTTATATTATTAAGATTTGTATTGTTTTTAATTTCTTAAGACATTTATTTTTGTTATATTTAATTTAAAATTATTTTTTTATTTTAAAATAGTTACAAAAAGAAAACAAAAATATAAATATATATAAATATATATTTATATATATATTAACTTTTTTCTCTTGTAATATATTTTTTTTACTGTTATTATTAAAAAAAAAATTTTAAAATATATTGTATAAATAATATATATATTTTTTATTAAAAATAAAATATAAATATATAAATATATATATATATATATATATTTTATATTTTTAATTTATCTTATATTTTTTTTAATTTTTTTTTATAATTAATTACTTATGATATAAAAGAATATTTAGAATGATTCAATTTTAATATTTATTAATCATAAAAAATAAAAATAATATAAAAAATATATTATTTAATCTTATAAACTTTACTAAAATATTTTTTTTTACCAAAATTTAACAGTAATTATAATCTAAATAGAAAAATAAAAAATAAATATAAAAATAAATATTAAGTTAAAATTAAACCAAACAAATAATTTAGAACTAAAAAAATCATAAAACTCTCGTTACAAAACTATAATTTAAATATTATAAGTTTTTCATATAAAAATATATTTCTATAGTTAACTACTAATAATATATATACGAATTTGTCTAAATTAAGCTATTAAAAACAATAAGAATAATACAAATTCTCTTTAATTATTCCTAAATACATAAAATATAAAAAAGTAAATATATTCTATTATAAAATTTAATACTTCTTTTTTAAATATAGAGAAAGTTATTGTGCAAAAACTTTATTTGTAAATATTTAAATAGGTTAAAAATATTACTATAAGTCGATTTTATATACTTATAGATATACATTTTATGAAAAATTTTAATATTTTTTCTTAAATTCCTATTCCAACATATATATTATTTGCATAAAAAATAATTATTTTCTTAAAAACGGATAAAAATTATGTTTCATTTATCTACTGCTAAATAAAAACAGCTAAAGAACATATAATAATAACATGAATAATAAATCAAACAAAATAATAAAAGCATAAATAAATAATTAAGATAATTAAACTTCTTGTCAGCAAAATATAAAAAAAGCAACAATAAATATAATAATTATAATTATGAAGGAAGTAAAAATTATAATAAATCATAGAATCACTAAATATTAAATATAATTTATATTTAATGATAAAATATATCTTCTTTTATCTTAAAAAAAATTAATTTATTAGTAAATAATAATTTATTTATTTATTATTTTTATTATTATATATATATATATATATATATATCCTTATATACATATATTATATGTATATATATTAATTTATTACTATTTTACTTTTATTTTACTAAGA